ATGGATATACCATATGTATACAGGGTGTTCTTAAAAGGTGGTACCAAATTTTAGAGATCTGTAGTTAAAACTCGTTAAATCAAACCAAAAAGTCTTAATGAACAGTACTCCAAAAACCTTTTATTTCTGAGTTATGAAGCATTTTCTTCTGTGAAAAATAGAAAATAAATTAAATCTACAATAAATGTTCTATGTGCCTTCGGCTCATGTCAATACACATTTCGGCATGTTTCGTCATTGAAGGTCAAAGAGTCCAGGTTTATTTCGTATTTGTTGACAACAGTTTCCAAGTCTCTTAGTCAGTTCATTCACGGACGCCTGTATGTGACTACCTAATTACGCAGGGATTGTTGTATTCAACTTTGGATTGTGGACCGTGTTTAGTTTGTTATCTGAAAAATGGCTAACTTTTACACAAATTCTGATGGATATTTATTTTATGTATGGCAGAGCAAAGGGTAATGCTTCAAAAGCAGCACGCTTGTATCATGCAGCTTATCCGAATCGCCGACAGCCAAGTAGAAGAATGTTTAGCAAAATTCATCAACGCTTACGTGAGACCGGATAGTTCAAACCAAATTTAGTTGACTGCGGTAGACCGCAACTTATTAGAACTCCTGCATTCGAGGAAAATATTTTACGCACAATTGAAGAAAATCCTAGAACATCTTGTCGAAGAATCGATGAGGAGATGTGCCGAATTGTGTGTTGAATTGAACATATATTGTAAATTTTAGTTATTTTCTATTTTTCACAGAAGAAAATGCTTTATAACTCAGAAATAAAAGGTTTTCGGAGTACTGTTTATTAAGATATTTTTTGGTTTGTTTTAACGAGTACTATATACCCCTAAAATTTGATTCCACATTTTGGGAACCTGTATAATACGAAACGTCTCTCAGTCAAAGTGACAGTGGTGCAGTAGGTAAGATTAACAACTCAAAAACCAGAGGTCTCAGGTTTGAATCTCAGCAATGCCCATATAGCACGAAAGCTTTCAGCAACATTACTACAACGTTGTAGGATTGCATATTGCTGTGCAATGTTGCAGAGACATTGCAGTGACATTAATTTGCCATATTATTTTAGCAATATTACAACGATATTTAAAAAATATACGAATATAATATAATATTTTTTACTTATTTATTAGTTATTTTTGTTACTTGTATTTCAAATTCAGTCATATTTCACATCACTAATATTTATAGAATAGTACTTCCCGAGTAGAAATTGAATCTAGTAATTGGCTAGTCATGACATAGAAAAGTTGGGTTTTACATCGTTACTATCTAGTAGTATTAGCTAGGCATTAGCTCAGAATGTAACGCTCACTTCTCCTAATGGCTGTACTAGAAAAATTAGCTAATAGCTAGGCAAAAATAATACAGTAATATAATACAGTTATAAGATGGAAAATGTTAGCTAATCATTAGCCAGGAATGTAACGCTCATTTCTCCTAGTGGGTGTAACAAAAAAATTAGCTAGTAGCTAGAAGAAAAAAAAGTAATTCGTAGCTATCTAGCTCGGACTAGACAGATTTTTTCTAGATATTTTATTTTTTAATTAGAGGGTTTTTTTTTTATTTATTTTCTCCTTCTGTCTTTCTTTTTCTTTCTCGAAGA